TTACATCTGATTTTTGTATGTTGTTGGCACTCATTGGCATTGCAGTATGGGCTTCCATAGCGTAACCCTCAATCAATTGAGTCATTTTGCTAGTCCTGAACATATCTGAGTGGCCTTCCCTCTTGTTATTAAGAGTGCCATGAAAATTCTGGAATTTGTGTTTTTTGATAAAAATAAAAATTGTATTTGGGTTCTATTTATAGAATGGGATTGTCAGTATGTAGTATGAATCTTCTTAATAGAATCTATGACTTTTCAAAATGTCTCTACCAATTACAGAATTGCACGAGATTCCTAGTTTATCTGCATCCTCGTCAGAACTCTGTAGTTCCTGCCTTTTCTACTTTGCTTCTGTTGGTGTGATGATACCAGGAATGGTCTTAACCAAGACACTAGAGTATTACCCAAATCACCCATTGAATAATGTCTGTTCTCATAGGGTTTTTTTTTTTAGATTGTGCTCCACAGCCACATCAATGTTTATAGCAGCACAATTCACAATAGCTAAAGTGTGGAACCAACCTAGATGCCCTTCAGTAGATGAATGGATTAAAACACTGTGGCATATATACACAAAGGAATATTACTCAGCAATAAAATAGAATAAAATCATGGCATTTGCATGTAAATGGATGGAGTTGGAGAAGATAATGCTAAGTGAAGTTAGCCAATCCCAAAAAAACAAATACCAAATGTTTTCTCTGATATAAGGTGACTGACTCATAGTGGGGTAGGGAGAGGGAGCATGGGAGGAATAGATGTACTCTAGATAGGACAGAGGGGTATAAGAGAAAGGGAGGGGACAGGGGGTTAGCAATCATGATGGACTATGACGGACATCATTATCCAAAGTACATGTATGAAGATATGAATTGATGTGAACATACTTTATATATAAACAGATATATGAAACATTGTTTTCTATATGTGTAATAAAAATTGTGATGCATTCTCCTGTCATCTATTTTAAAAATAAAAGCAATTTTAAGAAGGAAAAAAATATTCACAGATAAATTTACAGGAGACATAAATTTACAGGAGATGTCTGCTTGGGGGCTGTTGACTTAGGAGAGGCACAAAGGGTCTTCTGGGAAGCTGACAACACTCTGTTCTTTGATCTGTGTGTTGTACACTGAAGTGTGTTTCATTTAGGAATTCCACTGAACAGTGCACTCAAGATTTCTGCAATAAAATACTTCACACAAACGTTGAAATTAAAAATAAAAAAGGCAAAAAACAAATCATTTAAATAACGCATGCATGAATGAGTAATGAGTAACAGCATAAATCAGAAATCAAAATGGAATGCAAAGGACATAAATCTTTAATCCAAAGACATAGATTGAGCCTGGGTCTGTAGCTCAGTGGCAGAGCACTTGCCTTATAAGTGTGAGGCACTAGGTTCAATCCATAGCACCACATAAAAAAATAAGCAAATAAAATAAAGGCATTCTGTCCATCTACAATTACAACAACAACAACAACAAAAAGACATAGATTGATAGTTTGGATTTTAAAAACTCCAAACCATATGTTGTTTCGAAAAGACTAACATTAGAATCACATCATCCGCAGAGTGATGTTGAATGGATGGGAAAGGTACACCAAGCAATCAGGGAAAGCTCTGATTATGTAAAACAAAATAGATTCTAAGCCAAAATTAATAAGAAGAGATAAAATATGACTTCCTTCTGCTTAAGGGAATAATCCAACCACAAGTTATAATGATTGTAAGTACTTATACCCAAACAATGGTACCTCTACAGACAAGAAAAGAAATACTTCTCTATATTAGGAATCAAATAAACCAGAATACAACTATACATGATGATTTCAACACACAATCTCATGACTAGATATATCATCAAAAAGTAAACTAAGTAAAGATTTTTCACAACTGTAAAATACTCTTAAAAATCCTATCAGAGATCTAGATAATATTCTTTCATTCACAAATAAATGTACAGTCTTTTTAGTGTTAAATGGAACATACTCTAAAATAGATCATATTTTAGGACACACAGCAAATCTTAATGTTTGCAAAAAATACAAAAGTTCCTGGCATCCTGTCAAATTATAATGGGATGATTTCAGAAAGCAACATCGAGATCAAAAACAAATCAATAGAAGACCAGGAGATTATATAATGTGCTTTTAAATGAGGAAATAAACACAAGAAATTTGGTACAAAGTGAAAACATTCTTGAAACAAATGAGAATAGAGATACAATATATCAAAATCTCTTGGACAGTCTGTATGAAGGCATTTCTAAGAGAAATGCTTATAGCAGTGAGTTTCTACAATTAAAAAAATGAAAGATAATCAAATAATCTATTGAATGTTGAACCTTAAGGCCCTACAAAAGAATAACAAACAAATACCAAAATCAGTAGAAGACAAGAAAATGTCAAAACCAAAGCCAAAATTAATGAAGTTCAGAATAAAAAAGGACCACAATGAATCACTGTTATAGTGTTTCTTTGGGTAGGTAAATAAAACAATAAAGTTTAGCCAAAGTAATAAAAAGTAAGAGAGAAAAAAACGTGAGTTCACAAAATTAGAGCTCAAAAAGGATATATCACCATAGACATGACTGAAATCCTGGGGATAATTAAAAATTATTTGAAAAATGTATACTCCAATAAGCTAGTATTTTTCAGACACTGACAAATTCCTAAAGACATGACCTACCCAAATTGAACCACGGGTATGTAGAAAACAAACCTGCTAATATCAAACAATCACATTGAAGCAGCATTAAAAGACTTCCACAACAAAAACCCCAAGACCCTTTGGATTCTCACCTGAGATCTCCAACCTTTAAAGAAGAACTCATTTCAATCCTCCTGAAACCATTCTACTAAACAGAAAGTGAGGAAAACCTGCTCAGTTCATTCTATGAAGCCAGCATCGTGCTGATGCCACAACCAGACAAAAACATATGAAAGACAGAAAACTTCCGACCAATACTTTTGTAGAGTGTAGACCCAAACATTTCAAATACAATATTGGCAAACACAGTCAACAACCCATTAAGACAGCATGCCATGATCAAGTGGGTTTCACTGCAGGGAGGCAAGGTTGGTTCAAACTACAAAATCAATAAATGTGACCCATCACATAAATAGACTTGAACATAAGAATCACATGATCATCTCAATAGATCTGGAAAAGTCATTTGACTATAGCCAGCAACCACTCATTACTAAAACACAGTAAGTAGGTAGAGGGAAAAGGAACTAATGTCAACATTTTAAAGGCTATATATAATGAACAAAGGGAAAGATTACACTGAGTGGAGGAAAGCTGAAGTAATTTCTTATAAAAAGAGGAAGGAGTCCAGGATGTCCACTTTCAGGACACCTATTCAACATAGTGCTTAAGAAGAAAATCAAACAAATAAAAATAAGAAAATAATAAAATTACTTGTTTGCACATTATGTAATCCTATGTTGAGAAGGTACATACAAAATACCACCAAAAAGGTTTAGAGAGTTTATAAATTCAGTAAAGTAACAGGATATAAAAATCAACACATAAATCAGTCACTTTTCTATATGCAAACAGTGAATCTTCTGAAAATGAAATTAGGAAAATGATCCCATTCACAATAACACCAAAATTAGAATATCTAGGACTAAACCTAACCAAGGATGTGCAATACCTCTAAAATTAAAACTAGAAAACAATTAAGAAAAAAATTGAAGTAGAATGTAGAAGATGGAAAGACCATCCATGTTTTGGATAGGAAGAAGTAATATTATAGAATGGAACATATAATCAAAACCATTTTAAAAATTTAATGGATATCTCTCAAAATATCAATGACAATCTTAACACAATGACCTAGTGACATAAAACATTTCTTATAAGGAATGAGATAGAAATTCACATACAGAAAATCACAAATGACCACAATAGACAAGGCCAAAACAGATATTCCAAGACACATCATAATCAACAATGAAAATTAAGACAATATTAAAATTAAACATTAACAGTAAAATATTAAATTAAACACCAGTATCAAGGAAACACTAAAATAATATATTTCAAGCTCAAAAAAATTTTTACAGCAAGCTTTTCATATCCCCGCCTCAAAAAATGTGTTCAAAATCAGTGGGAAAATAAAAACTTTTCATGGCAATGCTAAACTGAAAGAAATTATAACCACCAAGCTAGAACTACGAAGAATACACAAGGTATGCTGCCCATAGAGCTATCCAGCCCACAGAGATATCCAGAATAAACCCAGAGGTCCCCAGTGAATGGAGGCCACTATAAGAGTAACCAACTAAATGAAAATCAAAACCAAATTAAATATGGCAAATAAACAAAAGTATCAAGAAACTACAAACTTACATTCACACTAACTCTGAAAATAAGATAAATGGTCTTTACTCCCCAATTAAAGGACATAGATTAGCAGAATAAATCAAAAGGAAAGACTCAACTGTATGCAGTTTGCAAGAGACTGATGACATAGATGCCCACAGGCTGAAGTGTGTAAAAGGACATTTACATATCACACAAACGAAATCTGAAAACAATCAGGAGGAACTAGCTATTCTCACATGAAAACAAAGAAGACTTCAAGCAAAACTTAACCACAGAAGGATAGTACATTCTGTTAAAGGGAACAATTCAACCAGAAGAAATAACAGTAGTAAATACACATGCTGAAAACGTCAGTACACACTAAATAAAATAATTCTTGACATTGAATTTCAGATAGAAAGCAATAAAATAATACCTAGTGATGGAAACACACTTTTTTCACAAATAGATAGGTCATCCAAAGATAAAATCAACAAATATATTACCAATGTAAATAGTACTACAAATAAACCCAAGTGGCCTAATATACATTTAGAATACACCTCAACATGTCACCTCTTCCTCTCACTTCCACCATGCGACCAGCGCACTGGTTTCATTAAAGAGGTTCTTGGCATAAAAGTTAGCTAGTGAGATCAAATAAACACACAGACTCAGTTACCTTTTTCTATGACCAGGTCTGAGATGGCTCTCCCTCTGGCTCACACCTCGAACCACTCGGTAGGGCAGCAGGGATTACTCAGGGCTAGCAGGAGAGAGAGAGAGAGAAAGAGCACACCAGGGAGTGGCATTTTATTGGGGAACAAGAAATTCAGGGGAAAATTCCATCCAATGAAGGTTGAGGGGGGCAGCACTCCAAGGTCAGGGTCAGTGATTGGCCCCAGGGTCAGTGGTCAAGTCACACCCCCACACGGACAGGCTCTCACACCAGGAGAGGGTGGGGAAAGCTCCAACACAGTTTAGCCAGAGCGCCTCACACCCAAATCGGGAGTTGCCCAATCACGTGTGAGAATGGCTTCCTACACTCTCACAACATTATTCCCCTAATATCATCCAGAATGATGTGGCATAGCCCAGGAGACTCACAGGAACTGAGCTGCTGTTGGTGCCATACTCGTGATCTTCCAAAACCATGAGACAAACTCTTCTCTCTTCAGGGAACTGAGCTTCTGGGGATTTGTCATAGACGTGAGAAACAGGCTTCTGCATGCTGTCTCCTATCCTTGTGTGAGAGGCAGAGACTCTTCCCTCTGGAAGATTCCCAGTTCCACATCCAGTCTTCAGGCTCTCCTGACTTCAGTCTCCTGGGGTCATCTCTCCACCTGGGATGGGCTACATTCTTCTGTTTCTTTGAAACCTACAGCTTCATGGAACAGTTACCCAAACCCCTTCCCTCCTTGAGGCTTGGACATGGACACACAGCACCCAGGAGGGTTCACAGGTCCACAAGCACAACCTGAGGATGAGGCAGGGAGCTCTCCAAGACCTCGTGTCAGTGATCTGTTTGTTGTAGTGCAGCAAGTGTACAGTGCCCTCTGACATGGGCTCCTGGACAAGGTGCACTTAAATACATGTGTAACCCAGAATGTGGGCAACCAGCATTCATGGTTGAGGCTGCATGGCCCTGTTCCCCTGAGAGTCACTTACTTGGGATGGCTTTATATCTCCTCTAGACGTCTCTTGATGTAGCTTGAGGATCTGGACACTTTGGAGCATGAATCTCCAAACTTCTTACTGTTCTTTTGTTTCCATCTTGTTTCTAACTCCAGTAACCAAACCTGGATTCTTCCCCCAAATCTGACGCAGTCTGTGTCACTAAAGGCTCTTGATTATGGGAAACACCCATGAGAGAACAGGATGTAGCAAAAACAGCACATGCACCTACCCTGAAGACGTCAGCACACACAGGAAACTCAATCAAAGATAAACAATGTCTAGGCCCATTTCTTCACTGTGTTCATGCTGGAAACTGTTTCCATGAGCGAACAGTTTAGTAGAACAGTGATTCAACAAATGCAGTCATTAGGAACAATTTCATTTTATTTGCTTCAAGCAACATTTAATAAAGATTGATGTGACTAGGCATTCAGACAAGGATGTTAATACCTGTAATCCCAGCTACTCAGGAGCTGGGGCAGGAAGATTGCAAGTTTGAAGTCAGCCAGAGCAACTTAGTGAGACCATGCTGCAAACACAGTGTTTTATAAAGGAGGCTGCGATGTAACTAAGTGGTAGAAAACTTGCTTCACATGCACAATGCCTCATGCTCAATCTCCAGCCCAGCAAAAAACAAACAGAAACAAATAAGAGAGGCAACACCAAAGTGACATTAAAGGATTCTGTTCACAAGGATGAGGTCAACCTACCCTACTCACCTCCACCATTAACCGGCCAATCCCACATGCAACCAGCTGAAATACCCTTGCCTCTCCCTAGAAAGCGGTATGAAGTGAGCAATTAAATAGTTGGCAATTGTGCATAAACATAGAATCAACACACTTCTAATAAGCTTTGGGCAGGTTGTATTCCAGAACCTGGATAGAAAGAAAACCAGGTAATGTAAAGAAAGGTCTCATACACACACACACACACACACACACACACACACACACACACAAATTCAACAGAAAATAGCAGAGAAATCTTCACCAACCACACATAGGATTATACAAAGCAGGAAATGAGAAGCAAAGGGCTTGTTGCAGAGCTTATGAAGCCCAAGGTGGTTCTGGGGCACAGCCAGCACCATGCTCCACCCTTAACACAGCAGGGATTCCCAGTGTCTTCCAGACATTTTATTTTCTTAAACAATGAAGAAGTTAAAGATGTCTGAGACACATTAGGAGAGGTTACCAGCAGGATGTTAATATTTTCAGGAAACAGGATGAAAATGTTCCCACTTGGATGAGGATGTTACAATCCCTATAACATCTGGGAGTGGGGTAGGTAACCAATAAAACATGCCCACTTATCTGGTAGATAAGGTGTGCCTGCACATATCACTGGACCAAATGGTTGTAATGCTAAAATAACTGCAGGGCCACATGTGGAGGGTGCCCTTTGCGGCTCGCCATGAAGATGGAGTCCCAGTAGTTAGGAAGTGGAGAGAGGCTGGGATGAAGGTGTACATGTGCCCTTCAAGGAATATCCAAGGCACACGAGCTGCAAAAGGAGGTATTTTTAAAATTCTGGATGGTCACTTGACTGAACATTAGGCTTGAACACCAGTGCAGAGGAGGAGTTATCCAAAGCATTGCAAAAAGCCTTGGCTGTCCCAATAAGCACATCTCATTTCTGAGAGATGGTAGAGGCCAGTGCTGCAGGGGAAGCAGATGTGGGTGCAGCTGTGTTGGGGAGACCAGTGATGAAAGTTAACAGATGAGGACCTTCCACAGCCTCGTGGCACCTGCAGCACACTCTACCTGCCTTCTCCACAGAGGAGGGTTCTAGGAAGACCAAGCTGCACCTCACACTTGTCCCCTCAGGTCTAGTTTTATTCTAGGGGTAACTAGCTCACCTACACATATGTATGTATGCCATGTATGTCTGTACAAGCTCAAGTTAATCTTCATGGACACATAAGCAAAGCAAAATCTTCAATTCTGTGAAAACAAAACTTCTTCAAAAATGCTTGATATGTAGAAATTCTTTGTGAACAGAGCTCTAACACTTATTGAGGATAAATGTAGCATACAGAGAAGAATTGATAAAATACATGCCAAATATTTCATTTATCAGGTTGTATTAAAAAATGGAAAGCTACTTTGGAGAGTTATGTAGAAATCTATTGTTTTCCATGCCAAAATGACTTTCGAGATGTTTCTAATAATAATTCATTGCCTAAATTTAATTGTGAGTTAGAAGGTTTACAACAACTGCATTTCACATTTGCCTCCCTGGGGAGAGAAGACCAGTGTATTTGTTTCTTTTTGGAAAGTGTGAATAATTTGGAACATAACTCAATTGATCAATGAGTATCTGTTACTTCAGGAGAAATGTACTAATTATGTGGCACCCACAGCCAACACCAGGCACATCAATAAAAATGGTGCACTGAGGTAGCAGACTCTTTAGAAATGTAGTTCTTGATGTTTAACAAATCAGACCTTATCCTGCTGCCTATGATCAGCAGAGATTCTAACTCTGTTGTAGCACAGTTTAAGAACATATGCCAATTGCTATTTACTATTTTTAAAGTTCCATAGAAATTAGTCCATTACAAAAAGAAGAATCCTCATATATAAAATGTTTCTCTCAATTAAATGTGAGAAATGTAAATTTTATAACAGAATTATTTATTCAGCTTTAGTACTAAAAAGATTTTGGGGTTTTTTTCATGTTTAAGTTAATAAAAGCATTTTCTTCTTCAAAAATAAAAAAAAAACTAAATGTAGGAGCACCTAATAGGTTGAGATTCATAGAAATATTTGGTGAACTCTGGTAATACATGCTAAAGACAAGTAGATGTAATCCTATGATCAGACAAATGTGTGTGATTTATAGATACTTATACATAAACATATGTTCACATATATACATGTATGTGAAGACACACATGAAAGTATCATGAAAACATGTTGCACATCCCACTTGTCAGTGCTGATCATGATGCTCCAATGTGTTGTACTGATCAGTTTCTGCTGCCTATCCAAATGCCTACACAAAAACATTATAAAGAAAGGAAATTTATTGAACTACATTTCTGGAGACTCAGGAGCATGGTGCCAGCATGTGCTCAGTCCTGGTGAGGGCCTCACAGCAGATGGAATCACAAAGGTAGAATCACGTACAGAAGAGACCACAGGGCAGAACAGGGAGCAAGAGACAGTGGAGACAGCTGCACTTGTTCTCATGGGAACTAATATAATCCATCATTAATCCCCTCCTAGTGACCCCGCATGACCAACCACCTTGTACTGCACCCACTTCTCAAAGGTTTCATCACCCAGCACATCACACTGGGGCAAAAATTCTAACACATGGAACTTGGGTTGGAAACATAAATCACATCCACACTACAGCATGTGTGCATCAAGAGAGAAATGCTAGAATTGTTTGAAATCCTTCATTTAGATTCTATCATCAACAACACGGGAAAATACAGATTGAAGTATGTGGCATTTTCAAGGTCAAATATGAAACAGCTGATGTTTAATGATTTCATTTTTGTTAAGTGCAAATCATTGAAACTGATCTCTACAGTTAAAAGTCACATATTGGTCACTTTTGGGGCCACATACAGGAAAGAGGAGTCATACAGACTACGGCTTTGTTTTACCATGTAGCAGCTGCTTGCACAGGTGCATTCAGTTTGTGAGATTTTATTAGAAAGGCATGCCAACCCATACGTACAAACATTCCAAAGGTGCATATCACTAATCCAATAATAAGTAGTAAAATAAAATTTATTAGTACCCAATGTTTTAAATGACCAAAGCAAACAGTAAATAAAGTAAGTAAACTATTTATGACAAAAAAATATTGCATTGTGATAATCACAGCACAGAAATCAATAACTTCAATATAATGTTTAATAAAGAGAACATCATGATGCTTCCCAACATGTTCAAGATTACATGAAACCTATGTCTCATTTCATTGCAAAAGACAAATATTTAATAGTGTTCACTTTCACATTTCCTTTAAAAAACATGGTTAAGACATAAAATATGTAGATAGATGAAAAATACATGTCACTTGTTTTCACAATTTAATAAACCAGAATAGCAGGAAAACAAAGAAAGCAGATTTTATGCTAAATAATTTTGCTCTTGTTGCAACTGGTATATGGAGTCTGAAATTTCTATTGGTTACTTCTACTTTTCCCAAAATATTTTTGGATGGACAGTAAAGCCAAATCTAAGTGGTATACATGCACATACTTGGGTACACATAAACACACATGCACACACTATAATAAAAAATCACATATGTCTTGATTGTCATTTTTTGAGATATAACTGTAACACTATTCTTTTAATTTGGGGATACAAATGAAGAAACATGTAAGAGTTGTGCAAAGTCTACAATTTACACATTCCCCTGACATTGGGGGTTTTCCTGTTTCTTATCCAAGGGAGACTGAGCCTGGATGCACTGGATTTCCTGCTCATCAGCAGAAAGGGGCTGAGAGTTGGGAAACTCCCAGCAACTATTGCAGCCATCTTTACCAGCAGCCAGTGGGGATTATAAATAAAAATTACACAAATCTGAAAGATGCAGGAAAGTGTGTAAAAAGAAACAAAAGTGCTCACCAGGAGGAGGATGGTTTTGGTGGCTCTGGACTCAGGCGAGGACCTGGGGGAGCTGAACTTACGAAGCTGCTGCATTCTCTGCTTGTGCCTGTGCAGGATGAGCACCATGGAGCTGCTGGCCCAGAGCATGAGCCCCACACACAGGGCATCAGGGAAGGTTAGCAATGCTGCATACAATGATTGTAAGCTATTGTCAGGTTGAACAGCAGAACAGTATTCAAAATCTTTCATGATTGTGATATTATTGTTGCTCCTTTTTCCAGTCATTTGTGAAAAAATCATAATATTTACAAGCAGGTACAGAATCCAACTCAGGTATATGGAGAAACCAATGTATTTGGGAGCTTTCACTTTAAGGTCCAAACAGCTGGAATTCTCAGGACTAATCTTCATGGCCTGGAAGATACTCAGGAGGCAGGTGCTGCCAATGGACACACCCCTGCCCACCCTGTGAAGATAGAAAAGCAGCTTGCATCCAAAATCACTGAGGAAATCTTTCACTCCAAAAGCTGCCACTGTCTGGGGAACTCCTCTACACAGGAGGGCTAACAAGTTGGCCACAACCAAGTGCTGAATCATGAAGTCTGTGTGTCTTACCTTGAACCCTATGAGGTGATGGACCAGATAATGGAGGAGAAGAGAGGAATTACCCAGAGCTCCAACCACAGTCTGTGACAAGAAGATGATTCCTACAGCCACATCACTGGCTGCCATCCTGCCAGTTCCCTGCTGTCCCAGCCAGAGGGTCCTGGAGGAAAACAGGAGGCCTGGGCTGCACGTGTCCTGTCAACAAAAATCCAATATTGCCTACACTCCAGAGTTCCCACTCTGAAAACTTAATGTTTTATTTCACTAGCAGGTTTTAATGAGGTTCATGACTAGTTCAGGCATGAAGTGTATAAATCCCTGTTGTGAAGGCAGCACATGTTGATTCCTGAATCTTCATGACATTACGCAGGGGCGGAGATGACCAGAAGAACTTGTGCACACACATATTAAGTCTCTGTCCAGATTCATACTCTGATCAGGTGCCCAGAGGGTCTTGATACTGGCTCAGTGTTTACAAAGAGAATAGCATGTATCATCAAGCTTCCGCAATGGTAATGAGCAGGTTCGTCTATCAATCCAGCTCACATTTACTTCCATTTCTCTATATTCCTATTGTATTGAAAACTACTGCTGTTTTTAAACTTTTCATTATAAAATGTTTCCATTCACTTGGAAATATTTATTCTATGTACAAGGTCAATTATGAAGGAACACTTAGATATTTTAATACCTGCAGATGCACTGAGGAAACTATAGCACTGCAGGTACCTGTTCCATGGTTAGTTACCTGCAGGAGGTAGGACTGGCTGCACATCAGGACAGCTACCCCATGACTCATGTGGTTGTATGTTAGGAACACAGTTCAATTGCTTCTATGACAGAAATTTTGCCACATTCCCAGGCCATGTCCTAAGTCTTGGCATATCAAGAAGGAACACATGATTAAAAAGTATAGTGTAGAAAGAAAATATTCACTTCTTCAGAAGATACAAATATGAGCTAATTAATAACTACAAAAAATATTTCAAAAAAGTAAGATTAGTAAATGATGTCACAATAGAAGCCATCTATGAAAACTGGTATTTGTGGCTATTTAAAAGTCAAAACACTAGAATTTCTGCATTCATTTGAATGCATATATTTAACTTAATTTATTTGGTAGAAAAATTTAGGTATACATATAATTGAACAGATAGTGAAGAGCTTTCCTCTGTCCCCTGCACATTCATACCCTGCTCCACTATCAGATTCCTATGACACATGGTGCATTCACTACAATTAACAGATATGTGACATGAAAAAAAATAAAGCTCTTACAGGTAGTATTAGAAACCACTAATAATGTCGTCCACTATTTCCATACATGTTCCTTCTCACAATATAGAGAAATGGCCTCATTATCCTTGAATTCTTAGGCTTTCAGGATTTCTACAATTACTCTCTCTGTTGGCTGCACCATGCTGAGTGTCAGATAAAATATTCTGCCCGAACAGTCACCATCAGATTTCTCTCTAGACAGGACTAGGAAGATTCCTGTGAGCTCCTCCTAATCCACACAAAAAGTCTGGACCTAGAAATATGAAGATTTAGTGTAGACTCCCTGTAAAGGAAACTGAGCAGCTGGGTGACTTTAAAACAACCTCCTTGTGCACCTTGAAAATCACATTTAATTTTCACTTAGACTAAACAACAGCAATCCCTGTCAGTAAGAATCACATTTAGTTAAATTAGGATCCATGGTGTTTTGGCATTTAGGCTAAGACCCATTTATCTTTGCTACCTGGAGCCATTCTTCATCAACCGTTTTAATACTTGTGTGGCTCTGGCTTATGGAGGGTTCAACTGAGTGTCCCCTTTTTGGTTGTGATCACTTACCCAGACTCTTGATGGGTCTCTTCTCACAGATGCTGCTCTCACACTCACCCTGAGTCACTCACCAGGCTCTTCCTCTCTGCCAGGCTGGTGACCTCAGTGCAGAGGCCTCTCTGACCAAGATGTGTGCTGCAGGGAGGGGGCCAGCTCCTGAGATATGGGTCTGTGGCTCTGTGATCTCACCTCCCCTGGGACCTGCAATTATCACTGTGCCAGCAGCAGCAATGGCTGTGAGGCTGGGGGAGCTGAGGACACTGCTGGAAACTTTCTCCCCAGGTGTCACTTATGAAAAACAATTTTAAACTTTCTTCATAACATGTCTTCAGAGGATATTCTAGTGTTTGGAGAGACTCTTACTTATCCATGATCCTGGGAGACCAACAGAGTGTCACTTGGAGGGGTTGGGAAGTACTGAGGTCTGTCATATGAAGGGCTGCAGTGAGCTTTGCATGTCTCATATTATTTCTTCCTTCCCTGGGAAGATTTCTACCCCAAATCCAGTTGCTTCCTGTTCTTCATTTCAATGAATGGCACCAGATTGAAGGTATGAGCAGAGAAATGGAAAGAGCAAACACATAGGAAGGATATTACACAGGTACAAGGAAAAGAGAGAAGGTGATGCTATTAGTTCACCTTGGCAGTCACCGGAATCATCTGCACAAACATGAGTGAATTCATTGGATTCATTTACATATTGAATGTTAATTCATATCATAATTTGTGAACAAATATGCCCTGCCATTATTGACCTCCACTACTGACAGGAGGGAGAAACATAACAATATCCATCAAACAGAATGAAATAAAAGGCTCCTTCAACAGTGACATCAGTAGCATCAGTTTTACTGCTCTGGGGAACAAGATGTTAGAGCTCCTGTGATATGGAGGAGAGAGAGTGCAAAAGAGAGGAGCTAGATGAAAAAAAGGCAAAAGCTCATGGACATGCCTAGGTGAGTGCACACCTGGGGTGAGGAGTCAAGGGACACAAGGACATAGCGTTAACCAGGTAAGAAAGACATGGTGTGCATAGTCACATAGTGATGAATATGCTCTGGGGATGGGGATAGAATACAAAATAATGTTGCAGGTTGCTGGATGTAAAGCCTCTGAGGTGTTCATAGCTACACAAGGTGGGAAGTTGTGAACACGGATGGGGGAATGCTGAGAGCCATAGCCAAGTAGGAATCACGCATGGCACTTTTGGTTGAAAGGTGAAGCCAGCAAGCCATTGAGATGATAATGATTATGTTAAGATGTGCATTCAATTGGAGATTAGATCCCTGCTGTCCGCCTTGGCCTGCTACTTTGGAGCTCTCGGGACTCCCGGAGAGTTCCCATTGGTTGGGGAAGTGAGGTAGGAGGGAATTCCGGAGGAGGGATTCCCTGTTGGTGTAGTGTGTCCCGGGAAAAGGCCGCATGCGTGGCATTCGCGGGTTTTTTGGAAATAAAGTTTGTTCCTGCTTGAGTGGCTCGTGATTTTGTACCCAGCCAGACTGCGGCATTTGGTGGCCCATACAGGGAACGCTTGAAGATCGGAGGTAAGTGAAATTGCTCACCCCTGAGGGAAGGCAAGAGAATGGGTGTCTATTTAAAAAAAAATGTGTTCATGTTTTGATTTATTATGTTTTTGTTTCAAGCTGCCTATCCCTAGAACTTTCTCAGGCAAACTGGGAAAAATGGATGGCTCAAGGTTTGAAGTTGTTGGGCCCTCAGGAAGAGAAAATTGATACATCGATTTTTTGTTCTGTTTATGTTTCATTCTGTTTCGGTTTTGTTTTGTGTTATCTTATTGGGTTGAGTTATCTTTATAGTAGATTAGAAATTAGTAAAAAAATAAACCGAAATAGTGTTAAGTAAATTGTTTGAGATTCAGACCATGGAGAAAGATATTTTAGATCAAGCAAAAGAGAAGGTCTCTCGAGCTAGTCAGACAGAGGAAGAAAATTTAAAGGAAAAGGTGCTATTAGAGAAAAAGCTACAACAGGAGGCTGCTACTAAATCCATTCTATCACCAGAGGGCATAATTCAACCAACAGCTCCACCTATAGAGACAGCTGAGTGGCCCTCAACCCCCGTAGTTGATAGATGGGATCCTAAGACAGGACCTCAAAGATTAGCATGCCCTGTACTTGAGCAGGCAGGAGGGCAGCGAATTCACCGTGCTTTAGATTTCAAAACAGTGAAGCAGTTAAAGGAGGCTGTAACAACCTATGGTCCCCAAGCACCCTTCACTGTAAGCATGGTCGAATCCATTACCAACTTGGACTTGACGCCAGCAGATTGGGCTAGCATGTGTAAATCTGTGCTAAATGGAGGACAATATTTGTTATGGAAGGTTGCCAATGAGGAATTTTGCATGGAGACAGCAAGGCAAAATGCAGCAGCCAGTTACCCTCAAAGAAATCTAGATATGTTGTTAGGAAAAGGACCTTATGAGGGTCAACAGCAACAAATTGAATATGATCCTGCTATATATGCACAAATTGCTGCAGACGCAGTTAGGGCATGGAAGACTTTACAAGAACATGGAGATTTACAAGGTCAATTATCTAAGGTAATACAGAGAGCTAATGAACCTTACTCTGAATTTGTAGATAGGCTTATTCAAACAGCTGTCAGAGTTTTTGGGGATACAGAACAAGCAATGCCATTAATAAAACAACCGGCTTATGAGCAAGCAAATCGTTGCTGCAGAGACGTCATTAGACCATGGAAACATGAAGATTTAAACACATATATTAAATTATGTAGAGACATTAATGAACAAGGGCAAGTCTTGGCAACTGCAGAACAACAGGCTTTAGATGCCAGTCCAAAAACATGCTACAATTGTAAACAAACAGGGCATTTTAAAAGGAATTGCCCCATAGGAGAAGGGTTTAACAAAACTAGGTATCAAAGGAATAGAATACTGGGTATTTGCCCACGATGCCATAGAGGGAGACATTGGGCTAATGAATGCAGTTCTCAAACGACCATAGAGGGTACTCCGTTATCAAAAAACGGACAAGGACCAGGTGTTTACCCACAATATCGTGGAGAAAAGCATCAGGCTCCATTGCCAAAAAACGGACTGGGGGTCCCAATGCTCTGGGGCCCACAACCACAAATATACAGGGCAGTGGAGGAACCCAGCAACCCCATCATGGTAGTGCCCAGGACACATTATCCATTAAATCCCTCATCAGACAAACCAGAAGAGTGCAGGGTTGGACATTTGTGCCTCCGCCAGAGCAGTACTAACTCCAGAGATGGGAGTTCAAATCATTCCCACAGGAGTAAAAGGACATCTT